ATAGTAAGACAATGTCAGCGATTGTGTAAATGCCCTGTGGTGCATATTTTCATGTAATAACTACGAAGAGAGTATTCGGGAGTTGGTTTTATTAGACGCTAACTGCTCAATAATCTATTTATTTATTCCGATTAGAAGGAATTCATAAGCGCATCTAGCGTACTCCATGAAAATTGTCTTTAACCATTATGTATAACATTTAAAAATTTTGTGTTACTCAGCTTTTACGACTGCCTGAAGGGTCACTATATGAATAAAGTTATTTACCAGGTCTCAAAAACGGGATTCTACATAAGAAAACAACATCTACCGGGTCTCAAAGGCGATAGTCATGCAATTGAAGGACAAGGTTAAAAACGAAATCTTTAAAAAACGAAAGTCAACAGAAGAATAAGGTTATCTAAAAGGTCTTATAGATGGTCATTGTAATCAAGAGATGAATATGATATCAACCAGGTTTCAAAGACGGGAGTCGATATTAGGTGAAATTTTTCTTAGCCGCGAACAGAAAAGATGAAAACTGCCATCTTTTCGGAAGTGACGAAGGAGTCGGTGATGCACCGAATATTTAATTGCCATTTCCCCCTACTTATTTCAGGAGCCATCGGGGAAGTATCCCGAGGAGAAGCAGATGTCTCTTTCGCCAACTACTTCATTACGCGAGACAAGTTTGTTATTAGTTATTGCCTTTCATTCGCATACTGCAAAATAAAGTTTAAAAAACATCTCGAACAATCGTAATCTATAAGGCATTGCAGACAAAAGTTGGTGATGTGAGTGTTTTCCGACATATGTTTATTGTATATCCTCGACACCTGCATCTTTCTATCCACTATCTCACTGGATAGTGGATAGAAAATGCCAGCGATTTCTTACGATTTTGAGAAATGCTAGCGATTTATCAAAATCGTAAGTTTTTCCTGTACATTGAATTACAATAACAAAATTAAACAATAAATTAAAACAACATAAATAAATAGATAAAAATAAAACAAACAAAATTAAATAAATAAAAATTCAAAAATTTCGAGTCCGATGGCTTGCTAATACACAACTAAAGCATTTTCCATACCACATAAAATATTCCTTAACATTCCTCAGTGAATTTGAGCCTCAACAGTGTTGCTGTGATGCCACCAGATTGTCATCGGTAGACATGACCGCGCTGCACTCTATAGACTACGCCTGCTTCATCACACCCATCCCTCCCCCTCCGCCGCAGTACACTGTTCTCGTCAGACCCTTCCATGCAAGTCTTAAAAATCATGATTTTTTATAAAAAAACTTCATCACGCCCATCCCTCCCCCTCCGCCGCAGTACACTGTTCTCGTCAGACCCTTCCATGCAAGTCTTAAAAATCATGATTTTTTATAAAAAATATAACTCAGTACTCACTGCATGCAGTGAGTGACAAAGAGCGCATTTTCTCGTCGACGAAAACTTGAGGTCACGGACGGACAGACGGACGGACGGACTGACGGACGGACATGGCGAGCACAATAGTGCATATTTTCCATAAATGAGAAAATGCGCTAATAAGTCAAATGATTTAATCCCATGATTTGATCAGTTTGATTTAATCATTGCCAACCCTGTTATTTAGCAAACTAAATGCTACTTTTACGTACTGACGATAGTTCATAGATAGTTTTCAGATTAAAAGTTACAATAAATTCTAAAAATTTGTAAATAGGTAACCACTCATGAGTGTGTTCTTTGTTCCTGTTACAATTCAAGTATTTATCGAAATCGCAATTGATATTTCGAGTTTATGGTCAAGAAATTTCCACAATATGAAATGTTTTACTTTAGTACAAATAACAAGTATCTGCCGTGTAGTAGTATTTTGATAGGAGTTAATAATGCACAATGGTCAGCGATCTTTCTCGAGTATAGATCTCGTAGTAGATCTGAACTCTTACTCGTAGTTCATCTATCGAAAGCGGGCCCATTCAGTCAAGTTAATTTTTATTACCCTATTTTATTATGCAATTTTAAACGTAGACGAAAAATTCATTTCCTTTTCATGTGAAATATGCAATACTCAAGTACCTTGGAGCACCTTTCACATATTCGTGAAATGTTTTCTTAAGAGATGATCTAGAAACTTTTTAAGATCAAACATCTTGCTACCTATCATATGAAAGAATTATGTTTGGAGTTACTTGGTGATAATCAAACATATTCTACCCTTTAGTATTTTCACTAACTGAACTTTAACATCCAGTTCATCGTGTGGATCGGTCTACTGCTAAGTCTCTTAGCCACGGTGCCTCTGACGTCACTCATAGCAAACTACGAGACGAGCAACGGAAAGATATTCCAAAATTTGGGTGAGGATTTTCTTTCTTTGAATTAGTGAAAATAGATTCTACCTAATAGAAATCATTTTATTGAGAGTATTAATTTTTTATATCTGTTTGATCCTGCGTTAACTAAGGGAACTTTGTACATACAAGATACAGCATTAGCTGTTAAGTGGTTCCCTTCTATCGATACTCTTGATCTTTTACAAATTTATATAAATTACGTTTATCAGCCACCGAGCGGTTTAAGATCAGTAATTTATAATCTTTACTTCAAAATTATCTGCGATTACCCTTTAGATGAATAAAATCCGGCTGTTTTTGGTGAAATTAAATCCCAGAATTTTTCGCAAAGGTACATTTTTCAGCAAAGCAGACTGGCGTTAGTTATATTGCTATTGTAGACATTTTTTAGCATTGTACTCAATAGTTTTCCTGACTTGCGTGTGGTGGGTATATTCCGTGGCGTGATGAGAGGAACTTTTTACAGGAAATTGCTTCATGTATCTCTGGGGCATCCAGCTCGGACAGCCTCTGGAGGAAAAAGTTTTGCCCTCATCGATGTCTCTCCGTATCGCCTTCGTAACCTTCGGCATGGCCACTTTCATCGTCTCTGTTGTCTATCGGTAATTTTTAGTTTCTAACTGAGAAACACGTCTTAAACACTCGGTCTTGAATCAAGAAGGAGGTTGCTTATGTATCATGCATGTATCCGCTAATTTAATGTATATAAACTAATTGGTCATTGTTTTGGTCAAGGGAAATTAATATCAAACGTATATTGAAGCTTAAATTATCATGCTGTTAAGGTGCTTGCTCTTGAGAGGAGTTCGGAAGGCTAATAACTGAACTTATTTTTTTTTTTACAAATTATCCACAACAGATAACGCTGTAAAGTATGTGATGCGTCGCTGAATGTGAAGCGAACAACTTATGTGATATGTTGCTGAATGTGTAAAGCGAACAATTCATGATGAACAAATTTTAAATATATTTTTTAACTAATTCAAATATTAGGGGCTTTTTGCAGGTCGGAAGTTATGACATAATTTTCTCTTTCATGGAAAAATCTAGGCAAGTACATTCGATGATAATTTCCCGCCACCTACTCCTCTTCGATAACAATTTGTATTTAATACAAGTTTCTGCTTAATTTCTATGCCGCATGATATTTAAGCTTATCCTTTAAGATATTTTATCTTCTCTGCTTTTGTTATAGACAATCTCTGATTCATTTATCTACCTCTGTTCTTTTCGTTTTTTTATATGAAAGCGTGTCAGGGAGAGAGCAGCGTGCAGTTGCTGTTAATGCAGCCTATCTTAGTAAAAAGTTAGGCTACAATTTTTTTTCTGTGTAAATCGCTCTATATTATTAAAAAATATTCAATTACAACAATCATACCTGAATTGTTCGTTGTTAGGATAAACAAACAATTCTCGAGGAGAGGAAAATTATTCATTGCCTTGGTTTGGGTAGGTGCATTATATGGTAATTGAAAATTTCCAGGACATTAATATTTAATTTATTATTGATTATTACTTCCCAACATTTATGCGCAAGAATTTTTTTCGTCGATATATGTTTTTCTGTCAACTTGGCTTCTGCACAAAAATACACAGTGATTCTAAATTTCGCAAGGCTGGGATACTCGAGGTGCAAATTACATTGTACTGTTCTGTATTGTACTGTTCTTCAATGAGTGCAGCCAAATGAAGAGGTTGTGCTAGTATATTTGATTTTCACAAACTCCTCCATTTACGGTAAGCCAGTCAAGAATTGAAGCTGCGTGAAGTCATACCTACGTACTCTAATGCGCACTGCGCACAACCTATATTTACAAACTTAAAACGATCGCATATGGATCGTGTCAATTCTAGTTTTAACTTCTGTTCTATGGATTTCGAATTTTCGCACTTCCATTGGAGTTGATACCGAAAATTTTTCCTTAGAATTATGGTGACTTCTTTTTTCCAAATCTGTATTAAATGAAATTCAATGGCTTACAATTTGATGTCTTTACCCTAATAACAGATTAGTAAATACGCTTTTTACGAGTTCCAAATAAATTTACAATTAATGTATTGCAACTGTTTTATGCAGTCATACATAGTACTTCAATAAAAATAATCGAATCATTTATACACTTACGATCGGATAATTCAGGCATGCATGAAACTTGGTAAATATCATGTAATTGCGAGGCGATAGATTGAACTCCCTGTACAATAATCAAGAGGTCAAGATGGAGTTCTTTTTCTACGTGTATGTCTCCCCTAACAGTAATGTCGTTGGCGTTAAGATGCATCTTGATTTCTGCCAAGTATAGATAGAGGGAAGTAATGTTTTCTTTCGAGCATCAGGTACTTTAGTTGCGGTGACAATTAAATTCCTAAAGAGACTTAGGATAAACGCGCCTTCTTGACTGCCTCGAGCCAATTACGGTACGAAATCAACGATTCATTGAGTTTACTGGAGGTACAGAAGAATATTGAAAATATAATACAAGAGTAAACCAGAAAATTACTGCACAACAGTAAACCAGTAAACGCCATCAGACATCACGTACGTCTGATGGCGAAATAATCACGTCCCGTTCTCATGACCGTGATTGAAATGCAAACGACATTCATGAAATTTTGGGCCAATCTGTAATTTGAATTAGATCGTAAGTATTAGAATTTCTTATCCGTTTAATGCATGGTTCACATTTTTTTTTTCATTTATATTTTTGTAGCGATTCAATAGATCCAACGTCCCGAGAGATCTACGAAGGGTTCCAGTTCGTCTCAGGCATCGACAGCGGCATTGCAAGAGTTTTGCATGGCGACTTCGCCTTCATGAATTCTGGCAGGTTATTTCATCTATAGATTGAATAGCCATGACCTCCAACAACTCCATTAATTGAGAGTTTATGACTATGGCAGTTAATTTCATTTATAAAGTGAGCATGCATGAAGCATTGAAGTGCATTCCATCCATAAAGTAGGCTTGTACGAACTAATGCGTGTAATTTTAATCGTTAAATAAAAAAATTTTACCTTCGGTAGTTGATTTGATCGCTTATGAGGCTCTTCATGAACTCCACACGGTGATTCATCCCTTGAGTCTAAACTTTTGACCTAAGAATTGGTATTTCATACGAAATTGGAATTTCATTAGCTCTCACAGTAGATTTTTGCTGTGTTGTCGCTGTCTTTTCTATGTTTTATCCAAGGTTGTAGATATTGTCAATTTTTGCAACATATCAATTTTCGGAATGAAAACATTCGAGTTTCATTGTTCGAGCCATCATTATTTTAGAACATATTGTGTTTTTAAGGCTCGTATAATATATATCATCCAGGCAATTATTGTCGTATACATAACCGATCAAATTATTGATTCATATATATCTGTTGTATTCCGAAATTAATCCTGTCCACCAGATTTCTACGGTATTTGGTGGCTAGCAACTTTACAGACGTTTACGGCCAGGCTAAGCTGCACGTCACCAAGGAATGTTTTGTGCCTTTCAGGTGAAATGATCAATATCTTAAAACTTTAATTATTCGAACATTTATTTTGAACGAACTAATATTGCAATAATCTGTAGAATAGAATATATTTTCTCTATTACGCAATAAGAGCGGGAGAATGGGAGAAATTTTGGCTGCTCAAGTTGATGATGCGGCCTTTCGGGTGAAATGATCAATATCTTGAAATTTTTATTATTTGAACCTTTAATTTGAGCAAAACAACATTGCAATAATCTGTAGAATAGAATATATTTTCTCTATTACGCAAAAAGAATGGGCGAAATTTTGAATGCTCAAGTTGATGATGCGGAAGCAACTGAAAACATAGTTCGAAGCAAAACCTTTTCTTTATGTGTAACAATTTTACCTGGACTTCTAGGATCGGGTTCGCAACGCCTCTGTTCTCGGTGTACACTGGCAGGTTCAGTGAGGTGATCAACCGCCTGGTGGAGGCTGGTTTGGTCACCAAATGGTTCAACGAAATATTGCAAGAGGTCAGACGTTGATTTACTTCATCGTTAGTCTTCATATTCAAATTGTGTAAAAATGAACATTGCATTCGACAGCTGCATCCTCAGACATTGATTCACTTCATCATTTAGTTTAGTAGGAATCTTCAAATTCAAAAAGTATAAAAATGAACATTGCATTCGACAGCTGCATCCACAGATTTGCATCTCACAGAAACATTGATGTGATGTTTACAAGGAAAATTCAAACTCACGTATTGAATTCACCGAATTCGCTTGGAATACAATAACACATTTTTGATATAACGTTTATTCCCCTTCGGCAGTATGATCTTTCCATTGGCATTCAACTGTTCGTAACAGGCAGCCCAGCAACAGCGACTGAAAGCTCGGCATGAACTGGGTGGTCTCGGAAGCTCCATAACAGAGGAACCTGGAGCATCAGTTGTACTAGGCCTCTACCATCTCCAGGTGAGTGGTGCGGGGACTCTACCATCTCCAGATGAGTGGTGCGAGGCCTCTACCATCTCCAGGTGAGTGGTGCGAGGCCTCTACCATCTCCAGGTGAGTGGTGCGGGGCCTCTACCATCTCCAGGTGAGTGGTGCGGGGCCTCTACCATCTCCAGGTGAGTGGTGCGGGGCCTCTACCATCTCCAGGTGAGTGGTACTGAACCTATTTATTTGAAGAGTCTTCGAGCTCCCATAACTGGCCAAATGTTGAGGAAGCTCAATTATAATTGACAGCGTCTCAAATAATAACAACAAAGGATTAAAATCACATGAACATAGTGTAGAATTTCTTCGAGGAGCTAAAGCTCCCGATGGTTAAGTTGTTCGTTGGCTGCACGGATGGAGACCCCTGGTAGGGTCGGCCCTATGGTAAAGATTTGCGACTGGGCAAAAGGAAGAAATTTAGTCAGTACAACACACTTCATGATTCATTGTGATGTTTTTCTTGCCTACGAGACGCTCGCTATTGCAATATTCTTGCTTAGCTTGCATACATAAAATCATTGATGATATGCAGTTAATTAAGGACACACACGGTAGAAAAGAGAGTATGTACTAAAACACATTTGAGAGTTGATAATGTGTAAAATTGCGCAATCAGCAGACGTGTTTCAAGCTTCGGATGGACTCAACCGGCAGCTATATATATAGGGCCCATGCAGAAGTCAGCTTCTAGCTCTGAGCATCGTAAAGCACGGCGATATAATCAAACGTTTCTCTGCTCTGTAATATTGAATTCCAGAATTATATATTGAATCTTCGAAGCGTATATATGATGTCATCGGAGAAGAACAAATGCAGGTCCGTTGAATCAAAAGATTATGAAACAATTATAGTAAAGTTACGATGAGTTCAGACAATATTTTCGTGGTATAGATGAAACATATGCACAGACGACATATGTACAGACGACATATACCAGCAATATCATTTGATGTACAGTGGGTGATTTTTCTGATAGAATGCTAGAGATATTATTGAAGAAGTTCATGTGTAGATTTGGTACCGGATTTAGTAAGCAGTATTGGTAACAATTAAGGATACCTATTGATATCGAACTGAAAAAGTTTGGGAACCGCTGTACTATAATCATCGATGCTTCACAAATAATTTTCATTTGTCTAGAGGTTCATTTACAAAACCTTTGATGTTTGAAAAAGCGATACACATAATTTCTTTCATTTCAGGGTGCCTTCATCTTGTTATTGTCAGGATTATGCTTCAGCTTCCTTGGGTTCATCGGAGAACTGATTTCAATAACATACGTCAGGTCAAGAATGAGAGGCAACGAAGTTAAATGAATGTGGTCCTACGCTGTGAATGACGGTAACGAAGAAAGTGAAGAACCAAGCTTTAATAAATGAACAATACAATTCTTCTCCGAATCACTGCGCCAAATTACTTATTTTTCAGATACATTTTTATTGGATTGTTATATTTAGAATCACTGGAAAATAGTATGATTAATAAAATGCTCAATATTTTTGAGTTAATAGTAAATATATTCAAAATGTATCATAAAATGTATATTCTGAAGCATTCAAAGGGCTCCATATATATCATTTTCGATGGCAATAGTAGGAGTTTGATTATATTCGATGTTGGTGGAAGATGATTTTATGATTGATGATGATTAACTTTCAAGGTATTCCATTCTTTAAAAACACAAATAAAAGGAATTCTATCATGAACATCTGTACTCGTACTTACTTAAATATTTTCAAATCAGATTTGGACGTGTCAAATTCCATTTCATGTTTCTATATTGAAGTAAATTTCATCCGGTGCTATGAGATGGAACTCGCACATATTCGGAGGATTTTTATTTTTTGTTATATGTTAATAGAAATAATTTGCTATATTCGAAAAATTTCGATTGTATTAAGATGAATGTCACTAATTCGAGAAAATAAAGTAATATTGCAAATTCCATTAGTTTCAGCTTTTATTTCATGCGTCTTTTAAGTCGTACTTTTATAATCATATAATCGTCCCCATTTAAATATTATAATTAACATGATATTTACATGGAGGATCATTTTGTCGCAATTACAGGGGTGATTCTATGAGCCCCTGAAGCATAACGTAATGATTATGCAACATGATCTTACTAAAACTTTGCGCAAGCACGATTTTAGCCCATGTCACTGAAAGTTCTATTAAACGCTTATGGCTACATCGATCTGTGGAGAGATCATTTGGTGGAGAGATGGAGAAAAACATAGGGAACAAATCTTGACCTTCCAAATTTTTTTAACTTTATTACTTATCGAGTTACAGCCATTCAAAGTTGAATATCGTTTTTTTGGGACACCCGGTATAGATGCATCAGTGGGATTGGTAGGTTAGAAGCATTCATCTCCCGCTGTATTTACTAAATTGATTCTCTTGTGGAAATTGTGACTGACAAAGAACAGAATACAATTGAATAAATATAAGGGAACGGGTAGATTTAATTTTTGAATATGACAATACTTGAGTAAAATAGGGGCATTAAGGAACACTATGTATAATAAGTACAGATATCAAAAATAGGAAGAGACTATTGATTAGATACAATATATAAGCGGCTTTGCGGAAAGCGGTTGGCTTAGACGCCACTAGGGGGCTGGTTTGGTGCATGGTTGAACTAGTACAAGGTTGACCCATGAGAAGCTCATTTTCGCGGATGGAGCTTTTTGTTCGCATATGACGTCACTGATCTCAGTGACGTCAAGGGCATTAGCCAATCACCCAAATGCGTTCAAACCAGTCAAACAATCCATAGTGGGAATGACGGGTTTGTTTATGTTTCTTGATCTACGTAACGTAACAAGGAAGCTGAACTGAAAGGTGGAACTTCTAGTGCGTCAACTTTATATAGTTCAACCATGGTTTGGTGGTTCTAGCCACATTGAAATTCATCGTAAAAAAACTACTTGGAAGTTTTACAACGATTGAATTGAAAGAGAGCGATACCTCCCGTTATACGATTCAAAGAATGAGTAATTTCTTCGTTCAAATTCAAGAGTAATCAAGGATCATCTATTTCCACAGCGATTACGAAAAATGAAATAATAAATTTATTTCAATTAGATTTCTGATGCTTTTATTTCAATGCAAATTTAAACCACAGTAGTAGATTATGTAATAGCTCATCAGTGAAAAATAACAAAGTTAGTGCATTTATCAATATAACTGGAGCTGATCTTAATTTATTGATACATGCTAGTGTGATGTAGGTGCATGATACAAATTCTGTGATGCAGATGGTAGCCTATATAGAAAAAAACTACTGGTTTGCTTTTTTTTATTACATGAAAAGGAGGTCAGAGCGAATTTAACTAATTAAAATTGTCTCGAAAATTTATTCCTCTATTTGGTCAATAGAATTATAAGTAGAACGGCTAATATTTCTTAGATCTTCCAGCTTTGAATTGATAGTAAAAGTCAGCAATGATTCATTGACAAAAATAAAATAATAAAAATAAGATATAATTAAATAAATATTTCGTAAATAAAATATTTCTAAAGTTACGGTCATCTTTACTGTAATTTTAGCAACTCAGTTGAATCAATTATATCATGAATTACTTCTCAATTTCAACGATATTCATATAATTTAATCTAACAAAAAAGTCTTTCTGGAATACGCAATTGAAAAATGATCTTGTTGCCATGAAGAATATGCGTTGCCTTTACGTTTCTTTCTTTTTTTTACTTTTTCTTCAACTTTAACGATCTTTAAAGATTCTATTAACTTTTGAGGAGAGATTCTCATCACCATAACACTGTGCTGTCTCCACAGAAATATGAAGAAAACGCTGAGGTAATTATGACAGTAATTAATAACGCTTCCGCGAATGGCTCCTATTACTTCCGGCTTTGTTATAAATCTTATCTCTCTAATTATAAAATTAGTCCACAGTCAAAATTAGTCCAGCAGTCATTGGCCAACGATTAAATGTTATGAACTACATAAGTTCAAGCAAATTTTAAGGAGCAACAATCCCAGATTCAAAGTTTGCTATCACCATAATTTTCCCTGGACGGTGGGTGGAGCAAAATATTGTGCTCTTGAACCATTTTGGTGCGCGATACATGGATTTTGCTTTAGTTAACTTTCTGGAACTATAGGACGAATTGAAAAACCCGTTGAACATTTTGAATGCAAGCAAATGCCCAACGCATTAACCTACAACATTGAACGTAGCTTAAAATTATCAACTTTTTACAACACTTTTCTTTAACTTCACTTCTTGTTGTTTGTTTTGTTTGTTTGTCTGTCTGCTACAAATCTTATAATCGATATTTAACACACTTCTACCTGTCCAAAGGATCTGAAATTTGGCACACCTGCATAAAGTTGAAGACAATGCATGAATCAATTGACAGAATAAATGATCTTAAAAATAAAAAAAAATCAATAATAAAAAAAAATAAAAAATAATTTTGTATGCTACAAACCTCATTATCAATATTTGACACACTTCTACATGTCCAATCAATATGAAATTTTGCACACTTGCGTAAAGTTTGAGACAATGCATGAATCAATTGACAGAATAAATAATTTTATAAATTAAAATTTTTCTTTTTCATTATTACAAAATGTAAAAATAATTTCATCTACAAATCTTATAATCCATATATGACACAATTTGACCTGTCCAATCGATCTGAAAATTTGCACAATTGCATAAAGTCAGACACCATGCACGAATCAGTTGACAGAATAAATAATTTTGAAAATTTACAAAATTTTGAAATCTAAAATAATGTTGAAAAATAATTTTTTTTATATTTGGAAATAAAATTAGAAATTCATTGTACATGTGTAACATCCAAGACACTGGATTGTTTAGAAGTGTTGTCTTCAAAAAGTAATTTTTAAAAGCATATTATTATTACAACACTTCTCTTTAACTTCACTTCTTGTCTGTTTGTCTGTCTGCTATAAATCTTGTGATCGAAATTGAATACACTTCTACTTATCCTATCGACCTGAAATTTTGCACACTTGTGTAAAGTTGGAGACAATGCATGAATCAAATGTCAAAATAAATTATTTTAGAAAGCAATTTTTTTATTTTCAATATTAAAAAATTGAAAAAATAATTTTGCCAGCTACAAATCTTATATCTGATATTTGACACACTTTTCCCTGTCTAATTGATCTGAAATTTTGCACACTTGTGTGAAGTCAGAGGCAATGCATGAATCAATTAACAGAATAAATAATTATGGAAAAAATTATATATTAAAAAAATTTTATATTTTAAAAAATTAAAAAATTAATTTTATTAATATTCGAAAATTAAATGAGAAATTCATTGTACATCCATAAGATTGGAGACACTGGATTCTTTGGAAGTGTTGTCTTCAAAAATTAATTTTTAAACGTATATTATTTCCGATATTAGCAAATTATGCGCTTCTCAAACTGAACTTTCTTAAACTGATGAAGCCGTGATCGACTTTTACCGAGATTTGTACGTTAGTCCGGTGTGCAAAGGACGTTTCACAACTTTCCGCGTCCCTTTACTAACAAGCCAGCAATACGCAGACCCTATAGCTGAACTTTTAGTATCACTGCATGTTCAATTGCAGATTTTCTTTAAGGGCCGCAGAGAAAAACCAAATATAATATAATATATTTAATGTTAGATTTTCAGAAATTTCTTTACTATTTACATTTTAAAATATAAACTTCGAAAGTTCAGTCACGTCTATGAAAGTAAACAATCTAAATAATAAATTATCTGCATACTTCAGTAACCCTAGTTCAATCGCAAGATTCAAAAATATAATAATCTACTTTTCCAGCTTGAATTGTTTCTCGTAGATATGAATCAAAGCACTGAGCACATGCTGCCCGGCTGGAGCTTCCTAGTAATTCCTGGGGTGACTTACGAGGAATTGGAAAAAGAGGGAGGGACTCTTTCAACACTGCCGAAATATACACAATTTCTTACTTAACATTAATGTTACGAGAAATAATGCTCCTGAACATACCAAAAGCCTAACATATTAGAGAATTAGTTCTACGCCTCTTTAATATTCTCAACCTCTAAGTAACATATTTTGAACAGACATTGAGGTAAAATTTTTGAACAAGTAGATTTCTTTAAATTAAATTTAAAAATTAGGCAAGAACAGACTTGGAGACGTTTATTCTGGATGAACAGTAAATGGATTCTGTAAAAAATATAATTTTTGCCGGTTTAAACCCACTGTTAGTAAAAGGAAAATAATGAAACTCTTACCGTTCAAAGAAATAGAGGCGGTAGAAATATTTTTGGCAATATTATGCTACATACTACTAGTTTAGCCCCCTTCAGCATCAGATCAGAAAACCATTGATTCCACGAAGCCTGCAACTAGCGCCGCTGTACGGTGATGTGAGGCGCCCACATTCCCAGAAGAAAGAAGTCTCCCTCAGAAAGTCTGGTTGTGCCGTACAGGCCGAGGACGCGCAGGGTTCTTATATTGCTTATAAGACGTTTGAACACCTCTAGTCTTTGCGGAGTGCCAACAATGGAGAATATCTCAAGGTTCCTTAAGGTAGAAATCATGTAGAAGCCTGCAGATGTAACTAAATCAAATTTTTCCAGGTACAGGTAGTGTAACGTCTTCACGCTTGGGAGCACAATCTTGAGCATGTTGTCCGTCCAGGAACTGCACAACTCTAGCCTTAAGAATATCAAGTTCAGTTGACGTGCTGAGAAGGCACCGGGAATAATTGTGGGGCATATGTTCGTCATTCGCATCCAAAGTGATCTTAGCCGTGGCATTTGCAATATGTTTTTAAGATCTCCTGCTGATTCTTCGCCGGACGAAGTATAGAAAAGAGAAGATACGTTCACACTTCTAGTCATTAAGCCTGTGAATGTAGGTGCCGGCAGCCAAGGC